TTCCTGACCCTTTTTATAATTAATAAGACCTTCGACTTTTCTTTGGCTGTCTAAAATAAGAGCCTCTTTAAGGATCAGTAGCTTATTTTCAAAATTTGCTTTCCACTGAATCAATATTTCACTCTCTGGATCTTCATGAAAATATTTTTCAAGTTCTTGCTTGATGGCTTCATATTTTTCAGCTACTAGAGCCTCAACTGTGCTTGTTCTGAGGGTCTGGATTTTTCCATTTTGAACCTGGTTGATCAGCTGGTTCTGCAAGCCTAGCACATGACTCCTCAGCTCCCAGGTCCAGCTGTTATACATGGTTTCCAACTTGCTCATGGCCATGACCTCTCGGGTGTTCCTGAAACTGAAAATAAAGTTCTCATTCACCAGGGCTCTCCACAAATCTTGAACTCTTGATTTTACATCCGATATCTTCATGATGCTCCCCCTGGATTCCTGTTTGGCAGTCATAAGAATTCTCGTTTTCAGTTCCTGGACGTTGTGACTATAGCGAGGATTGGGAGGGGCCATTGGGGGATTGCCATCCCAGAGGTGAGCAAAGTAGTAGACATGAGTATTGACATCAAACTTAATGACATCACTAAAGCGGGATACATCTGAGCACTGTTCTTGCTCAGCCGCTGTTGCTGCCATTTCATCTAGTCTCTGCTCTAAGCGCCTTCGTCCTTCCATAGTTTGGTCTTTAGCAGTAACTTCCCCCACATTCTGATGGACAAAGAGGCAACTTGGGGAGATTTTTATTTGTTTCATCCTCAAAAATGCTTGGACAACAATTTGGAGAATATCTTGCATTTCTGATGGATTTTCCCCAAATATATTGATCAGAGTCAAGTTTGCAAGTCCAATAACAAAGGTTGCCAACTCATTGTCACGATTCTTAGATTTGTTGCTCAGTTCTGGGGCCCGAAGTCCTTCTGTGTCCACAACAAGCACAAAGTCAAAGCCAAGTTCCTCTGAGAATGTCTCCTCCACCTTCAGGAGCTGCATGTAGGCCCCCCGGGTACACCTCCCAGCACTGACAGTGAACTGCAGCCCAAAAAGTGCATTCAGTAGGGTGGACTTGCCTGAGCTCTGCAGGCCAAGGATGGAAAGAACAAACAGCCGTTTGTTTCCAAGTTTCTCAGAGAGCTTGTCAAAAAGAGCTGTCACCCACTTTAGAGGCACATATGAAGCATCCCCATCCATCAGCTCAATGGGAACACCAGATATCATGAGATCTGCAGCAATCTGGGGAAGGGAGAGAAAAAGAATACCTTTTGTGGAAGAAGCTTCTTCCAGAGCTTCATAGATCTGGCCAATTTCTCTGAGAAGTTGCTCAATTCCCAAGGAACAGTCACTAATCTCTGTGGCGATAGCTTCTACCTTCTTTTGCCAAACTTTCAGGTTGTTGCTATTTGGTGCCTTTTGCTTTTCTGTTTGTATCAGGGACCACAAAGTCTTTTGCTTTTCATTCAGTTTTTCCAAGTGTCCTGCAGTCAGGTTGTCCAAAAGCATACTCAGCCATTGCAAAAAGTAGAGTGTGGTGTGAGTTTCTGAATGTGTTTGGAGAATTTGAAGGACAGAATTCATTAAATCATTGAGAGGAAAGGCTCTGNAGTCCAAAGGAAGAGCATGCCAAACTTAAGGGGGATCAATTTTTAGACATATCCTGCTGTAGTCAGCTCAGGCTGCCATAACATAAAACCAGGACTGGGTATCTTAGATATCAGAAATTGATTTGTCACAGTTCTGGAGCATCAAAGATCAAGGTGCTGGCTGATTCAGTCCCTGGTGAGGGTTCCCTTCCTGTCTTGCAGACGGCTGCCTTCTTGCTGTGTTTGTGTACATGACCTTCCTTTGGCTCATGCATGTGAGGGAGAGAGAGAGATTTCTCTCTTATAAGTCTCTTCTCTTAAGGGCAGTGATCCCATCATGAGGGCCCTGCCCTCCTGAACTTATTATGATGAGTTAGCTCCCAAGCCAATACTCTCTAAATCACATTGTGAAGTTAGGGCTTCAACATAGGAATTTTGGAGAGACAAATATTTAGTCCATAGCACAGCCATTCCCTAGACTTTCTCAGATTAATATCCTCTCTCTGAGAGAGAGAAACCTACTTCAAAACGTCTCAGTGCAAATTTCATCTTCATTTAAGAAACTCCCATCTTATTCATGTGGTTTGATCATGTGTTAGAATCCATCACCCCCCTAGCTCCATTCCTACAGGCCTTGTGTTGTTCATTCCTACTGCACTTGGAGTCTGTTGCTTAACTTACTCAGAAAATCCCCTATTTCTACTGATGTGGTGACCATCAATTCTTATGTTTCTATGTTCCCCACTTTCAATGACTCTGAGAGACTCATTCCATGTGAGCCTTATCCCTACTGACCTCACAGCTCTGGCCCCCTCTAATCCTGTACGTACACCTGGGCCCAGTGTCTCCTACTCTTCCTGATCATGTGATTCTCATCCTCACTCTCTCCATTTCCCCTACTCCACTGGTCTGGAGGGCTCCCCACTAGTGACCGTGATCTAGTAACACTGTAATCCCCTTAATCCTGACCCCACCTGATGACAGCTTTACTCTGTACTGCTATCACAGAGAACCCCATTCTTATATAGATCATCTTCTCTCTATCCTAATTTACTTTTTGCCAGTTTCTTTTTCTTTGAGCACAGTCTTGAATCTTATTTAATAACCACTCTGCTCAAATGCCTGAGGAATTTATCAAAGATCTTTTTATTTATACATAACAATTTTGGCTTGAAAATCAAAGTTAACGTATGACATATGATACTTCTTAGTTAGGAGCCATTATGGGTTCATTAAACAAGCACAAAAAAGCATTCAACAAGTGTTAACTGAATATTGCAATTTTCAAGGATGCAGTGATGTGAGAGACAGGTATCATGCTATGCAGGGGTTCTGTTTCTGTCACCATTTCAACATAATCATATTAGGAGGTCCTTTCAACTCTTACTGAGAGTATTTTCCAGAGAACAAAAGGGAAACCATACTGTTCAAGAACACCTGTTTCCTTTATAATTTTTCTGTTGCAAGATTTCTTCTGGAGACATGGGTAATTTGACCTCAAACTGAGAGTACACTTGAAGCCCTTTGAGGGTACAAAGATTGCAGAATCAGCACTGCTATCTCCCAGCTCTAAGATCAAGTTTGGACTGCTGTTCCATGGATTGTCTGTTTTCACTGGCTATGGAGGGGTAGAGAGTGTGACTGTGAATAGAAGCCTATAGATGCTCTTGTGTCCAACATGAAGAAATTTTCTTCATTATATCATGCTTCCTTTAGATTATCAGTTTTGAGAAACTAGCATAAGTCATTGTTTCAGAATGTGTAGGATTGCCGAATGGCGATTGCTTTTCCTTCTCTCAGGTTTTTGGTTGGCTTCAGAGCATTTTAAATTTTTATTCTGGTCATGACCTTATGGCTCAAATAGCATAAAAAGTCACAAGGGTGACTGTTTCAGAGATAAGCATTTTCTTCCATTATAATACTTAAAAGAATTTCTTATTGAAATATCAGAACCTAAAAACTACATATATACTCTTTGGCATTTTATTCTTGAAGGAATACTTTATAAAATTATTAATAGCATAATTAAATCAGACCTTGTCCACAACCAGTATTAAAATGGCTTCTTCATCTTGTCATAAAATCTAGTCCTTCTTTGATTAGTACAAAGCACCAGGCTTTTAATGCCTAAACCCTTATGAACCATATGTTTTTAAAAGCACACACAGAGAGTTGCCAATATACCAGGAGAGAAGAAGGTATGATTAGATGAGAAAAAACAATTATTTCATTTCTCTTTACCATATTTGCTTGATAATGTTTCCTGAATTGATGCAGGCTCTATCCTGGTCAAGTCTCTTGTATTCTTTCCCAAATCACAATCTATCTATATACCATGATGCTTGGGAATCATGGACTTTCCATGAATATTTTTTCATTCAAGGGTTAGTAAATTTTCCTCACAATTTTAGAGGGTAAAAAAATACACTTAAAAAAACAGGCAACTTGTAGCTTCCAACCAAGAATTGTATATTGGTTTGAACAATCATCTAGCTAATCTATAGATTTCTGTAGCAGGCTACAATGATATTGATCCCTATATGAAAATGTCATTCTTTGAGACTTTATATAATTTTATATATTTTAAAATAAAAGAACATTCTGAATAGTAGTTTAAAATATGGAGTTGGTATTTTAAATGGGTTTTATTTTATTTTTATCATATGTTCATATATTTTAGTAACTTGTTTTTAAAGCAGAATGAATTGAGACAAAGGAAAATCTTCCACTCTTCCAATGTTAATTGATTTATTTCTAGATGTTTCATTTGAAAAATGGAAATGATGAAGGTTCTCGTGAGAAGGAAGTATCTTAGTATTGTTCAAGTAATGTAATTCTTTTGTTCACATTCTTGTACTCTTGGGGTCATTGAGTATTACTGTTTCTTCAAGTCATCAAGCACATCCTGCTTTGTGATTTCGAACCATTGATCAGGAATTTTACCTCTACCTATAAATTTTCGCTCATATTTTTCTTCTAGGTTTGATCTGAAGTGACAGACAAACCATTTCCAGTAGGGCTGGGTGGATGAGTCTGGGGTGATGCTCCACGTGGCGTAGTCCCCTCCTGCCTGTCGATAGTTCTTATATGGGAAT